GGCTCCCCCGCCTCCCAGTCCTGCCTGCAGTACCCCTTCGCCTCGGGGCCAGCGAGCGGGGGCCCGGCCGGCGAGCAGCAGGCGTCCCGGCGCTGCGACCGCGCGGGCCGCTGGGAGGACGGTGACTATTCGCACTGCCTCTACACCAACGACATCACCCGTGTGCTCTACACCTTTGTGCTGGTGAGTGGGGAGGTGCCGGGGGAGCTTGGCGGTGCTCGCCCTGTCCTGGGTGCTCCCGGGGGCGGCTGGCACAGCCAGTGACTGTCCCCACTGGTGACCGTCCCCCATGTGCCGTGCCGCTCCGCAGATGCCCATCAACGCCTCCAACGCCCTGACCTTGGCGCACCAGCTGCGCGTGTACACGGCAGAGGCTGCCAACTTCTCTGACATGGTTGATGTCCTCTACGTGGCACAGATGATTGAGAAGTTTATTGGCTACGTGGACCAGATCAAGCAGGTAATGCAGTGGCCCCTGCTTTCCCCAGCCCTGCTGGCTGCAGTGGGGGAGCCCGACGGGGTGTTTCCTACCAGGGGATGGGGCAGTGTCCTGTGAAGACCCCTGGTAGCTGTCCTCACCACCCCCTGCTCTCCCGGCAGCTCACAGATGTCATTGTGGAGATGGCCAGTAACATCATGCTGGTGGATGACCACATCTTGTGGATGTCGCAGAAGGAGGAGAAGGCCTGCACCAGCATCGTCCGCTCCCTGGAGAGGATTGCCCTGCACACACTCAGCAGCAACTCCCAGCACATGGCTGTGGTGAGCATCTCCTGTGGGGTGGTGGGGAAGGGGAGGCTGGCCTGGCTGGGGCTGTCCCTTGCCGTGGGGCTCCGGCGTGGGGACTGTGCCGGGGCTCACGGTGGCCCTGCGGCTCTGTGCCTGGCAGAATTCGCGTAACATCGCCTTCGAGGCCTACGTGGTGAAGCCGGAGAGCTACGTGGGCCTGAGCTGCGTGGCCTTCCAGCGGCGGGACGGGGGCCCGGGGGGGAGGCCGCCCCC